AATGACGATATATATATATACACACACACACACACACGCATATATGTGTGTTCCCTAAGATGGCTTTATTATCCGGTTCACGGAGGGAGGCGTGTGTAAAGTTCGCTCTCGACAATTGATTATTACTATTGAAAAGAAAGAAAGAAAAAAAATGAAAAATGAAAAAAAAAAGAAAGAAAAGAAACGTCACATTGTCGGAGTTATTTTGTACATAATATAGCGTACGGTACATACACATCTCTATATATGTGAATGTTTCCCGGGCCTCCTTTACACCACGCCCCTTCTTAACTCTTCATAGTCTGCCTCTTTTAGCACATACGAAGTTTACAAAAAGACTTGCCGGGAGAGATGGATATTATAAACATCAACAATCAATTGTCATGTTGTGCATTGTTGTCTATTTGTCCTACGAGCATCTTCTCTTCATTCTCGTTTCAGGGAAGAATTTATTGCCACGATATATGATCCGTAATTTATAATAGAGCTAGTCGTCGTCATACGATTATTATCCCGCCGGAGTAATATTTATATATATACGACTTGTTTTTCATCGATCGCTCTCTGTGTGCACATACAACATCTGATGAGAGAGAGAAACACAGAAAAGAAAAGGGAGGGAATGGGGAGAGAGCGTGAAAGAGAGAGAGAGACAGCAGAGATCTTTATTATAGTAAATTGTGAGTCTTATTAAAAGAGAAAAAAAGCAACAAAAAAAAAAACAAAACAAATGATACTCGTTAAATACTGTCTGCAGATGCTCGTTGTCGAATCATCGTACCTTACGTAAATTGTGTGTAGAGAAAGGAAGAGAGCGAGGGGGTGGAGGGGGAAAGAAAGGGTTAAAGATAGGGGACATTTGTGAAAACACAATCGACGAAGTACGAGCGAAATAAGAATTCATTTTTCGAACGTTTTTAATAGAGGATCACACACCGGCTTTCGTACATTAGATACATCGTAAGGGTAATTCGTATGTAATTTAATATCGCCTTAAGTTGCTGCGCGCAAAACAAGCAACATTCTCTTTTTATATAGAGCTGCACTTTTTAGAGGTATCGGTTTAGTAGAACATGTACGAATAATCTTGATTCGTGTAAGAGGAGCGAGGAAAAAAAAGCAAATGGGAGAAAAAACTTTACCGACGGGGTATGGGTACACACATGTGAAATGGCCGAAAGGAAATTGTGCATACACGTGTGTGAAATGAAATTTCATCGAGTGAAATAGAGAGAGAGAGAGAGAGAGAGAGAGAGAGAGAGAGAGAGAGAGAGAGAGAGAGAGAGAGGCGCGTAAAGCGAAATTGTGAAAAGACTGTTCAGAGAAATAAACGATAAAACAGAAAATGGAACAACCAAACAAATAAACAAAATGAGAAAGAGAACAAATGAAGAAAAATACGCGATGTAGAACACAGCAACAGCAGTAGTAGTGTAGAACAACGCGTATTAATGTGTATCGCGCTGAGACACATATTTGTTAGTTCTTTATTTTTTTTTTTCTCTCTTTTTCTCTGTCGGACAACTGAAACTTCCTTTCGAGATCGACAATTATATCTATCGCGCTGATGAAATTCGACGACCACTTAAATGCTAGAGAAACGCGAGAATCGAAGGAACACACACACACACACATTAACATCGACACGCCTCGGCGACGACAATTGCATACGCGTCGATCGTATAATGAGAATCGATTTTATGATAAAACACACGCACGAACGTGTGCTCGAATACACACGCATACATTCGTTCAGGCCACACCGTCTACGCGTTATATACACGTTATTACGAAAGTTCGGCGCGCGCGATTCGATTCAATTCGCCGGACGGCATAACGTTGTCCGATCTCTGATTCCATCAATGGGGAACTTGATTATCACGTGATAGAAAAAGTCGTACGGTGAAATCGTTAGAAATACGGAGGCGTCGTCGTCGTGTCAATTCAATTTCGGGTGGCTTGGTCAAGGCTGTAAGGCGAGACCAGCTGATCGTTGCGAGAAAGCAGCAGAGTGAAAGTGAGAGTGAGAGCGAGCGACAGACGAGGAAAGAGAGAGAGAGAGAGAGAGCACGCGCAAAAGAGGCGGATAATCTTACGGTTCAGGTTGCGGTAACATTCGAGACTTTCGTCCAATTTTGCCCTCTTTCCAAATGAGAGGAAACCGAACGAGTGAAGTTGCAGTTGAAAATAGAATGGTTGAATAGGGGAAAGAGAACGTATCGGAAAATAGAAATATCATCATATTGGAATGCTCATTTTTTCGCGTACTACTGGCATGCTCGTGTATTTGCATATCACGTATTTGCGATATCGATGACACAATTTCGAAATGTGTGCTCTCTCTCTTTCTTTCGTGGTACAAAGAACGATCGGACGTAGAGTTTCTCTGAATTGAATATGCTTGTTTGCCGATTAAAGGTGGTACATGGCTGTGTCAGAGGGGTAAGATGAACGGTTTCTTTTGAGTTGGATTGACGAGTGATTGATAATTCAACACATTTGCACTTTTTACTGGTTTTTTTTTATTATGGATATAACGGGTATTGAAAAATCGTGAAATTTTGGAAATAGTAAAAATTAAATCAAATACAAATCGCTGAAGTGGACGATGCGTAATGCGTAGGTGGTGAACATGATTTCAGTTTGAATGACTCATCTGAAAGCAAAATCTACGAGGTGGAAGCTTTGCTGAAAAGTTTCGATAAAAATTCGTGAAGTTATACGGTAAATACGAAATTTGCAAATTTTTTCTGTAATAATTCCTCTGAGAATGTTCGATCAAATTGTTCAGAGTTCTGCGATCTTAACGAGCGAATTCCACTTTGCGGAGAAGAGTGTTACGTAGGTTCGGTTAAAATTTCAGTTAAAAATATCGATCCTTTCTCGACTTACGATGGTCAGCGTTTTGAAAAGCGTGGATTTGAGAAAAACGGCTTTAAAGCTTCGAATACATTTTTCTTTTTTAGAAAAAAATTCGATTATTTGCAAAATTGCCTTTAATCAGCTATTCCAGGTTCATCTTTTTGTTTTGTTTTTTTCTTGTCCTATGCTCAATTCTCGACTCTTTAACTTTCTAACTCTCGTTTTCTTCCTCGCACATTTCTTTTGCATTCTGTCCGACTGGAATTTCCAGCTGTTCCATGATTGATAGCAGAAGAGCATTGTTTCCGTCGTTGAACATTGCAACTGCAATATTTGCAGCGATTTCGACAATGTCAACGTCACTGATACATGCTTTTGGCGCGATTTTTGAAATTTTCGAGATCAAACTTTCGTTACTATCTTACATTGCTGTTTAATTTTTCGTAAATTTCGACGATCGTACTCATTGTATTCTCCACTGCAGATTGTAATGCAGGTTTGTGTTGGTATTTGTCCAAGGTATTCTGCGCTTTACTTTGCCAAGAGCATCAACTTGCTTCCCCAACGAGACAGTACACGTGTCGGGCTTTCGTATCGGTCGAACATTTGTGAAAATATGTAACCTAAATGGCCTGCCTCGTGGCTTTCGCAGTGTGATTAAAATTTCTAATGACATTTCCGTAATACGAACTGAATTAATGGATCGGTACCGCAGTCAATCCATTCTCGCCTCAGAGTCCTCTAACCGTTCGTTTCAATTTTCGAAGAGCTGAATTCATTCTTTTTTTGTTGCTTATATCCAACGCGTTCCTCTTTTTTTTTTTTTTCATCTTGCACGCCGTTTACTTTTCACGTTGCAATTTCTGTAATTTTGCGCAATTTTTCGACGAATCCTTTTTCGAAACACTTCAGAGGAATGGAGCTTTCACGAAGAATCTCGAAAGAAAATTACGATTTTTTGAATTTGTAATACTCATGTACCACCTTGAAGAGAGCATACTTAGAAGAATTGATTTTTAAACGTTGCACTTTGAAAAACGCGAAATTGTGTCACGTGTGCAGCGGTAAATGCACAAATAGCTATACAAACGAAACAGTATGTCGCCCCTTTTCGTCAAAATTCACCCCTCCATTTCACAATCAGCTGAGTAACTATGCGGAGCCATCGTACGCAGTGTCTTAATAGTTCCTGGAGGGAAGCACGATGGGGGGAGGATTTTAACTAAGCGAGGTCTTCAGACATAAATTTGCCTGCACAGGACAGGGAGTGTATAATAGTAATCGTCGATACGCTTCGACGATTGATCATCCTCGACGTGACAATTCCAGCTTCCACGTGGACTTGAGCTGTGTAGGTGTAAAGGGGTGAAATCATCCGCGATATCACTATCGTGTACCTCGCGACGTGGTAGCACAGGTGTTCTACTAACCTCAGTTCTTGCACCTTCTTCTCAAATCTGCGAGTCAACACTCCTTAAGACGTCCTCTTCCCAGATGTTCATCACACTGTATTGGAGAATTACACCGTCAAAGTTCAGAAATTGCCTCTCATCAACAAGAGCTTGCAAGCCTTGTGGGCATGAGAACGGTTGCTGCGCGTATTCCTGAGGCACGTGCAGCACCTGACCGCTAACCGTCACATTGGTTCTCACTTTCCCTTCTGGCAGCTTGGAGCAAACGTTTGTTTTTGATGCTCCGCGACACCGACTTGCTCGACACTCTTCGTCACTTGTGTTAAGAGCTTAACGGTTTTATCAACGTATGGGTCGTTGATAGGTTGTGAATCAACCGGCGTAGTTGCACGGGCTTTCGCCACCTTAGCCCTCACCTGTAACGTTGCAACTTGTTCTGACATGACCTGATCTTCGTCACGTATTTCTACCTTCTGAGACGCTAAATATTCGAGCGTGCTTCGCGCTAATTCAGGGACCACGTCAATGGAAACTGCTACCTCTAGGGGCGGTCGGTTCACCTCTTCTC